TTGGCAGCCTGTATCTACAGGCTCAGCTCCAGCCTTAAGAAAAAAAAAAAAAAAAAAAAAAAAAAAGTTGATGCTTATGAGGAATATAAAATGGCAGCTAATGACTCAGTGAATAGACAAAGGCAGGAATAAGCTAAAAGCAAAGAAGGGAAGAAGATACTTGGCACTGCCTATCAGCTCATATACTCTGGTGACATGAGTTCCATGGGACTCTCACCACTATTAGCTACTGGTTTTTGAATGCTTCTCAAATGCCAGGTGCATTACACAATTTACATATACTCTCCTTTAATTCTCAATAACATAATGAGGGAGGTAATGTTTTCCCCATTTTATCCATTTTCTAAATAAGGATGTGAGACATAGAGGAGTGGCATGTCTAAGCTCACATGGTCAGAAAATGTAGAGGCAGGATCTAAGCCAGGACCCAAGCTTGCCCTTATGTTGCTTACCTCTGATCAAGTTCAATCCAAAATTCAAAGTAGGAAATCTAGTTGAAAGGAAATAAGGGTTGCTCCAGAATATTTTCTCCATCTACAATAGTGACTCTTATTATGTGTTGGGTCTCAGACTCACAAAACAAATTTATCAAAGTGGTAGACCCTCTCCTTAGAGAAAGACATATATGTTCACAATTGTTTGCATGTGTACTTTTTAGGGATTTCAAAACTCTGCAAAACTAAGGCTAAGAAACTATGACCTGAAAGTTGCCACTAAAGAGAGACCTAGATTACAGACAGAACCTGACTGGGATGGAGTGAAAAGAAATGTTTCCTTGGCCAAGCCAACCCAGCTGGTGCAAATCCTCTAGTGTAAGCAATTCTTTACAAGCACAGAATTGAACCTTAACAGGACTAGTCATGATAGACAAAAACCCGAAATTATAAAGGTACTCACAAAGAACACAGGTTACAACCCCATTCTTGAGGGACCTTTGAGTGAGCCAGATGCAGTGTGCAAGGGATTAGCAAGAATGTTGCTAGAATAAATGTGAACTTTACAGTTGGGCTGTGCCCCTTGGTCATGACCTTGAGACTCAAAGAATTGGCTCAGACAGTTCTGAGCCGAGTAGCCATTTCACAGACAGCCCACAGCCCAGCAGGTCGCCGCTCTCTCACTTTGCCATCATGACATTGCCATCTGTAGCCACTGAGCTGAGATTTCTCAAGACCAAATTTATCACACCCAAGATTCCATTCTTACATAAGAATCACCTGTCGATGATGCATAAACTTTAGCACCTAGCAGAGCCAAGGGTAATGAGGATTTAAAAGAAAGTGGCCTGAATAAATTCAAGCAGATTTCCTCTCTGTGGGACTGAGTTTTGAAAAACCTTTGTACCCTCATCTGCCTCTCAAAGGAGACTGTCATTTTTCTACTTTCTGTCTGCATCACTATTGTCGGGGGAATGATGCTCTCAGAGCCATAGGCAATCTATCTTCTTGGAGGTTCTGTTCAAGCTCTGACCTTGGTTTGTTGCAGTTGATGTCTCTTCTCACAAGTTTGAGCTTGCTCTCCTCACCAGCTAAATTAACCATAAAGTACCTTGACTCACGTTACTGAAGCCTCAGAGATGTCGGTAGAAGTCCGGAGACCTGCATCACTATGTCAAAGAAAGCACTCTGGGTCAACGAGAAGATTCCCTTATCTTGAAACCTTGGAATGAAGGTACAGCTGCGCTGGCTGAGAGCAAAGAAAATGCTATTTGAAAGCACTGGAAGGAAGGAGAGTTGTCTAAAAAGTGGTGGGATAGGGACCACACTGGATGGTGGGAAGGATCTGGGAAGGAGGATATTCCCTAAACTAAAAAAAGGGCCAAGGGCAAGAAAGTCACCTACAGCTCTATTTAGTGAAATGTGAGAAAATTAAATTAGGGTTAACAAATATCTGAGAAGGTCTGCATCTGTGACCTTGGGCAAGACCTAGTTTCCTTCTCTGGGTTTCCATTTGTAAAATGTAGAAACAGAATGGAGGCTTCTTCCAGTACTAGCATGCCAGGATGGAAGGTAGAAGAAAAGGCCTTTGAAGCCAACATAATTGCTCCTCTGTCCAGAGAAATATAAACAACAATAACTCCAACAGCCTTCAGCTCTGCTTTTGAATGAGTTCTTTGCTTCTGCCTGAGAGGTAAAGTAGTTCATTCCTTGGGGAAAAGTTGAAAGTGGAATGCTAGGCCATGCCCTTCTCACTTTGGTTTCATTATGTTATTCTGAATGATTATTAATACAAAGAACAGTCAATGTAAGTTAACAAGGCTTTACTGAGTATCATGCATCCAAGGCTGCAGTTGGTCCTCTAGGGTAGATGAAGAAAGAGTATGTGACATGTTCTGGGTCTTCAATTCCCTTAGTATCCCTTAACATAGGTTTGTATGCCCCTTATCAAAAGCCAAGCACAAAATGAGCAAAAGTGTGGCTAACTGTTTAAGTAAATCTTACTTCTCTGTATTAACATAAGCAATTGAGTTTAATGAAATTTGCTAATTTTTACGCTCTTACTAATACATACTGCATATGTGTTATGCATATTTGTTGTGTACGTCTATGAGAAGCCTCACTTTGGCATTTATAGGGTGTGTATTGGCTTGATTCTAGTCAGATGCATCTGGGTGAAACACAAATAAAAGTCAATCAAAAAACTTTTGACTTTTCAGGTAAACACATGGTTATACATTTTGAAGTTCCACTCAAGTGCAATCTCTATATGACATGAAAGCAAACTAAATGAATCATTTTGTGAAAACTACTCTAATTCCTGAGTATGCACATTGGTTAATTTTTTGCATATCTCTGGAACGCCAATCCTGCTTCACATTAATTACCAGCAATGCACTATTATTCTTTGATGGGTACTTATTTTTTTGATACCAAGTAAATGGTCAATTATGTCACCTTTGTCAGACTCTTTTGTTTTCCTTTGAAGTTTTCTAAAACTAATCAATCAATTTGTTGTAAATGGCAATCACATCCAAAATATGTCTTGGATACAAAACAGAACTTTTCAAGAAGTAAAGATGATCCAAATGAGGTCTTTCAAATGCAAAATATCTTCATGATAACCTGAAAGTACTTGTCTTAAATGTTCTGTATAAACATACTCTTGTTTATTTTCAATTACACGTATGTAAACACATAAGGTTGAGATAAAACATGGTTCCAGTTACATATTTCTAAGCACCAAGAATGATGAACCAAGAATTAAGATGCATTATTCTTACTTAATAACTAATTAACTATAATATACTGTATTGCTATGTTTTTCTTCCAATACCCCAAAGCGCTATATTTGGAACTTAGGTTTAGAATGGAGTTGATTATTAGACTCTTCAGTACATGAAATGTCAAAGCACTTTTATTCTGTTGCCCATATGGTGAACACAGTAAGAGAAGAGAGGTAGGTATTTAGTGTGACCAACCATTCTAGTTTTCCCCAGGACTGAGGAGGCTTTTGAGACATAGCACTTGCCATGGGAATGGCCAAGGCAAATAAGAGACAAGTTGACCATCCTGCAGGTATTATAATTCCCGCTTATAATTGGAGAAACAAAGGTACAGAGAAGCAAAATGCTTTGCCCAGTTTACTCAGGAAGCGACAAGCAGATGCAGGACTGAGTCCAATGTGTTCTAACAACAGCCAGTTTACAAACACACACATCGGTACTACTTCTTCTGCACCTTGCTGTCTTCTTGAACTTTAAGAAAACCCATGTCGTCTTTTACTTTTTTGTGTGCTACCATTCCAAAAGTGCTAGGGGAATACCATGGGCAGTACTGAATGGAGTCCTTTATCTATGTTGCAAATTACTCAGGAGGAACAACATTGCCACTTTGCGTTTTAAAGAGAAGAATGAGATGTTATAATTATCACAGCCCTCTAAAGCAGAGGAAGCACTAGTACAAGTCCTGTCTACCCACCAATTATCTGTTAAGACCACTAAGATCTCTCTAGTCTTGACTGGGCCAGATGTATAATTTCATGAAACAAATCAACCTAAATGAACCTCAGGAAAAATGGCCAGGTAACCACCTTTTGAACCACTATACGGTAACAGCTAACATTTACTGAAGGCTTACTATGTGTTGGATGCTACGCTTAGAGCTTTACATGGATTCATTCAATTAAGCCTCACAACAATCATTCCATGAAGTTGCAATTATTGCCCCCATTTCACATGTAAGCAAAATGTGGCTGAGAGAGGTTAAGTAATTCACCAAAGTCACACAGCTGATACGGGTTGGAACTTGGATTAAACCTCAAGCAGTTCAACTCCAAAACAAGTGCTTTCAGCCACCCAGTACATCACTTTTGATAAAAACAGCCAAACAATGTTTAATCTGTCCAAACAGTGTTCTGACTTCCAATCACTGAGGCAGTTTACTAGGGTAGATCTAAAACTAGCTAGACTACAAATTGCTGTGAAGCAAAGCAGATATGTCTGTCTACCTGTTTAGGTCAAAAGGTATAAGACTTTCTGGTCATAGATATTAAAGGATCTGAAGGGAGAGATTTTTAATCTGTGGATTAATTTATGAGCTTAACTGTGCCCTGCCAAGCTACTGTTATGTCTTCAGTACCCCATTTCCCTCTCTGAAAAATGTAAATAATACATCCTGAGCTTCTATGAGAAATGATGGGTAAAACAACAGGAAAGCACTAAGCAAACTGTAAAGTGCTTTAAAACAATTATTTCATATGTTAAGCAGCTTACAAACTAGCAATTTCTTCAAATGCCCTTGCAAAGAAAATGAGACACAGCTGCTGGGATGCTCTGCAAAGAGACGGAAATCCAGCTCTTTAAAATGTCCAAGGGGAAAACACACACTGTAAGATTACTCCAAAGATGAATTTTACAAGAAGGATGGAAGTGTCATCAAGTTTTTCCACAGTTAATTCTAAAAGAATGCCAGCATCGAAAAGATCAAAAAAAGCAGTTCTGCAACAGAAATCTGGGAAAATATTCTTTAAAGACATTGCATAATAGAAATAGGAATTAAACTCACCTGAGGAGCAGAAGTGAGGAAGCCAAGTTTATGAGTTCTTCTCAATTTTGTCCAAAGTCAAGTCTGTTGGGAATAAAAAATATTAAGAGAACTTAAAAAAGGAAAAGAAAAAAAAAGAAAGTCAAGAAGGATGAGTTGTCATGGAATGCTATGAAGCTTTGAGAGTGACTCAGCGTTAGCCAAGGGGCAGCAACAATTAAATGAATTTGTTGAAAGAACCCTAATAAAACTCAGTATTCCCTGTAATCTCCTAACAAGATTGCACCACTAAAGAAAATGTTAAATCATGCATTTGGGGGGGCTGTGGTTTGATGAAGTTGGTTGGGGGTGGGGGAACTCAGGGCTGAGTCACAGGCTTCTTAGAGGAAGAGCCATTGGGTCTCTGCCCTCTTGCCTGTTTCTCTCCCTCTCTCCAGGGATTTTAGTTCCTCTGCAATTAGCCAAAAGAAGCAAGTGAGCTGGCCACTGAAGGATGAGAAACTGTGATTCACTTGTAGCATAAATGATCAACCATATACACTGTATAAATAAGTCCTGAGATGGAGAGGCGGAAAGAACTTGTGCCACATCTTTTGCACCCACGAGAATCATCAGTGCAGATGTCTGTTTCTAGATGGAAGAGCACCTAGGCTATCCAAAATGGATGCTGAGCAGATTTTTTAAAAATCCTCTGGGGAAAAAGATCACAATTCCTCTTACTAATTTATTAGTTACTTTTTCTAGCCATTAGGCCCCAGGCTACAAAGACCCTAAATTTCCCTGTTCTAAACTGGCCTTGTTGGCTGTGGATGAACAAGTGGTTTTTTCACTATTGAAAAATATAAATCCTTTATGTATTTGCACAGAGTTATTCTTATACTAAACCCAAAATGGAAACCCAGGCCGTTCTCCTCTCCCTTCCAGGATGAGAATTCTCCACCTTTCAATCCAAGTTACAGAAAGAAAGAAACATTTTGATAATCTGGCATCATTTTTTCCTATTTTCATGGAGTCAGCTATAGACTCAGTCAGTGAAGCATTTACATGTCACATCTTTAAAAAATAAACTGAAAGGGTTAAAAACTGGAGCTTTGACATTTCCATAATAAGCTTTCAAAATGCTTATATTGATTTATTTTTTGTTCTAGAATAGACTCAGGTACAAAATATATTTGAAAGTTGTTCTGCCAGCCAAACTGTTCTCCTTCATTTATAAATAAAGTTGCTCAGTGTTCAACAACTGATTGCCGTGAATGAATGGGGTATGATGTCCTTCAAAGTCTCCAAAGAGCTGCTACAACTTAGTTTTCCCCTTGGGAGAAAAAAAAAGTTATTTTTCTATTGATTTTTTTCTGTTCTGAATAGAAAAAATAAATTAGATCCTTCCTTCCCTCCCTCCTTCCTTCCTTCCCTCCCTCCTTCCTTCCTTCCCTCCCTCCTTCCTTCCTTCCCTCCCTCCTTCCTTCCTTCCCTTCTCTCCTTCCTTCCTTCTCTCCTTCCTTCCTTTCTTCTTTCTTTTTCTTTTCATTCTCTTTCTCCTTCTTTCTTTTTTCTTTCATTTCCTCTTTCCTTTCTTTCTTTATTTTTCTTTCTCTTTTCCTATTTCTGCATTCCTACAGGAAGAGAGAAGGAATATTGTACTTTTCATCAACCAGAGCAAGAGTTACATGAGTTTGAAACACAGCTAGTTTTTAAGGAAACTATACTGTTGTCTTCTGAAATGGGAAGAGAGCTTTTTCTCTCATGGGACAAAAAGTCAGATTTTTCTTCTGTCTTCAACCTTTATCAGTACAAAAGAGTAAACCTCTCTACACACATGTTGAGAAGCGAATCCCATGACTAATTGCAGAGTAAGCAATCTCCTTGATTCAGATCACACCAGCAATGTGCATTTGAATTTAGGTTGGATTCAGATGAATAAGTAAATAACAGTATACTGAAAAGAAGACTGGGGACTTAAAAACCAAATCCCATAGTGACCTCAGTGAGAATTTTGCTCTTTTATGGACAGCTTAGTAGATGAATTCAGTCTTTTAATTTACTTACCAAATTGTGGAGAGCTCTCCCATTGTAGCAGTTAATCATTTCCCCCCCAACTCAATTTCCTCATTCATACAATTGGATTAATACAACTTACTGTGCAGGGCTATAAGGACAAAATACAATGTGTATCTAACATGCTTACCACAGTACCTAGCATGTAAAAGCTGGATGAATTGTTTCTTTCAATTCATTCTTTGAATTTGTTCTCGATGAAGTGATGCTGGCTCTAGTAACCTTCTGTCACCTCTGCCCACAACACACACATACCAACCACACACACACACAGCAGCTAACTAAGAACAATTCCCTAATTTTGTCAATTTTACGGAATCTTTCTTAAGGCACCCCATCACCACCTTGTACCTACTATAGTAACATATTAGTCATTTACCATGGGCCATGCACTGCACTAAGTTACCTTACATGGGCAATATCATTTCATTTCCCCTACAACCCTATGAGTTCAATACTATGGTTATTCCCCTTTTGCTTCAAACTCACTTGATCACTAATGTGAAAGAATCTTGACAAGTATTTTTAAAACATCTATCTTTATATTTTATTACGACAATTGACTGAATATTTGTGGCCCTCCAATATTTATATGTTGAAATCCTAACCCCCAATGTGATGGTATTAGGAGGCGGGGGTTCTGGGGAAAAAATTAGGTCATGGGGGTGGAGCCTTTATGATGGCATTAGTGCCCTTATAAAAGGGACCCCAGAGAGCTCTCTTTTCACCATGTGAGGGTACAACAAAACTGGCAGTGTGACTCAGGAGAGGAACCTGCACGACCATGCAGGTACTCTGATACTGAACCTACAGACTCCACAACTGTCAGAAATAAGTTTATGTTGTTTATAAGCCACCCTGTTTATAAGCAGCCCAAACTAAGATCATTATAATTGCAAAACGTTTATGCAGTACCTTGTTATGTTTTGTAAATTTTGTTCAAGCAAAGCAGTAAAATACAGTTTCTAACCTCCAAAAAGTGACTTTTTATATACCAGAGAAGAAACAGAATTTACATTAAAGGGTCCACCATGTCTTTTTAAAAAAATCATACAGGTGCTTCCTATCTCTGATTTAAGTTTAAGTACTTATTATAAATAGGAATAGTGGAATCTCCTCTTTATATCTATTTAAGAATTGCAGCCAATGTCTACAACATACCAAGTTGACAACACTGGCAAGATGACAGGGGCCAGTCATCTTGTTAAAATGAAGAGCAAGAGATGGTTAAAGATTGTTTCATGGAAATTAACCTATCCACATATAACATCTTAAAAAGTTACAATTTGGCACATTTAATTGGCGAATAGAAAAAATTATATATAAATATCCCTATTTTTGAATAAATCTGAAGGTTAATGAAGCAATGAATAATGCCTATGCTTAATACAGAGATATTTACCAGGAAAAGAAGTGTCCCTAGTTGAAAAGACATTAGATCCCTATTCTAAAATCTCAATTGGTTCATGCAGAAAAACTCCTAAAATAGAACATTGATGGCATACCTTTTGTATTATGTTTGGCTGTGTTTTATTTTTTCAATAAATATTTATAGAGCCATATACCTGAGCTTCATTTTTCTTTTGAACAATTTTTGAAATTTTATGCGATAATGTTTCCTACTTCATGGAGAAACTAAGTGATAACAGAGGGCCTCACTGCTATATTTACCCTCTCTCAAGCAGCATTATTACCCTAAGCATGCCTGTCACTATGGATGACAATATCCTATCTTCTCTTTGAAGCCAAATCTTCCACTTGGACATTAGATACTACGACTATTTGCTGACCCAACAAAATTGCTTAAGGAATTGTTGCTATCTTTCCTAAAACATTAATCTCTCTCTCTCTCTCTACTGGATCATTTCCATCAGCATATAACCATATTGTAATTTCTTCTAACCAAAAACAGCAGCAATAACAAACCCCTTAGGTTGACCTCACTTTCCCCATGTGTCTTCATCCAATTTCTTTGCTTCCTTTCGCAGCAACCTCAAGAGTTGGATTTCCTCACTGTTTCCTATTGCTCTCCTGCTATTCCCTACTAAGCTACTTAAACCAGGATTTGACTGTCACCATTCCACCAAATCATGTTCTTGTTCAAGTCACCAGTGATGCTCACTTGGGAAATTCAATGAGCGACTTTCAGTATTTATCATACTGGATCTATCAGCAGCATTTGGCACTACTTCTCACGCCCCTTTACTTGATGTACTTCATTCTCTTGCTTTTTAGAACGCTACATCCACCTAGTTTTTCTTCTACCTTGATAGTCACACCTCAGTCTCTCCCTGATAGTTTCTTCTTTTTTTCTTGACCTCGTAATTCTGAGGATCCCCAGAGCTGAGTCCTCGTCTTCTCTATTTTTTTTTTTTTTTTTTTTTTTTTTTTTGAGACGGAGTTTCGCTCTTGTTACCCAGGCTGGAGTGCAATGGCGTGGTCTCGGCTCACCGCAACCTCCGCCTCCTGGGTTCAGGCAATTCTCCTGCCTCAGCCTCCTCAGTAGCTGGGATTACAGGCATGTGCCACCATGCCCAGCTAATTTTTTGTATTTTTAGTAGAGACAGGGTTTCACCATGTTGACCAGGATGGTCTCGATCTCTCAACCTCGTGATCCACCCGCCTCAGCCTCCCAAAGTGCTGGGATTGTCTTCTCTATTTATACCTACTCACTTGATAACATCACTCAGCCTCACAGTTTTTAATCCCAAAATGTTGGTGACTCCAAGGTCTCCCTCTTCAGCCAGGGAAAAGCTGGCATTCTGACTAGCTCCAAAGATGCATGATCAACAACCGACTTGACATCTATAATTAGGTGTCTAATAGTCATTTCAATATCAGTATTTCCAAAACCAAAATCCCAATGTTCCTCACAAACCTGCTCTACCACCCCAATCCATAGCAATTTCATATTTTTAGTTGCTCAAGCCAAAACTTTGCTTTCTTTTCAACTCATACTCCATGTTCCATCTATCATAAAATCTTGTTGGATTTTGCTTTTGAAATATGGCCCTATGCAGACTACTTCT